TGATGGGAAGCACTCACACACATTCAGTAAAAGTGAACTGATTGTTTTTTCACCACAGCTATTTATGATATTATAACACCGGGAGATTCACTGCTAATTAGTGTTTTACACAGTATTTGGTTATTTAATATAATGTGCATGAGCCAATAATTGTATAGCAACAATACAACTGAAAATAGCTTTTTGTGACTACTTTTAGTATTTGTTTAAAACTAAATATTAAGTTATTGAATGTTCAAATGACAATATTTTTTTTTTTACCATGCTGTCAAACAGGATCACTCATCGTTCAAATCATGCACAATTTTGTACTGTAAACTCCATTTATTAGTTGTTAATGGATGCAGGCCAGACAATAGCTGATTTATCTGTTTCATTGTAAATATCTGATGGTAACACATGATAAGCATGATTATGCCTTAACATCTGTCCCTCCCAGCATGGAAAATAGCAGTGATATATCATCTATCATCATCCACTTTGCCCTGTGTATCCACGTAACTGTGTGCTCCCACTCTGTCCATTCTTAAGGGGACTGCGCACAGAAAATTTAAACCATTTCAAAACAAGGCACATATCTATTTACATATCTGTTTTTCACTTCAAAATACATGTTAAAATAATTTTATCCTGTCATGCATTTTCATCCTTAAGAACTTCAAAACATTTCAGTGATTTATTTCGCAAGGCAGTGCCATTGCGTGTGTCAATTCAGGTACCATATCGTTTCCACTCATACAATAACATCACTCCACTGAACAGATATTGATATATGAAACTATTTTTTTTCTTTATGAACACAAACATCTGAAATGGGTTCACTGTAGTTCAGAATGACTGTGTTGATGAAATCTCACAGTTGTCATCTAATTACTTAATTTAATTTTCTATGGCTCCATCTAAACTTGAGCCGAAATTAACACTTTGGACCAATGGACTAGGTCACTGGATTGTCTGAGCAAGCAAACCTTATACCTGAATGATGCATGGAAAGTTTATTACACTACCAATATGTTAATTCCTGATACAGAAATGCACATAATACAGTGTAGACCACTTCTGACAGATACGAATGGCAAATGCTAATGTTTGGATTCACCTTCTGTGTGTGTTTAGAGAGAGAGAGAAAGACATTAAAGGGGGTTGGATATAATACAATTAAAGCAAATATTTTAAGAGAAACACTAAGGGGAAAAGGGGGTGATCTTCCAGTAATGTCTATCTCTGTCCCTACATTGTTCATCTAACTTTGTGAGAGTTAGCTGGCACTGTTCCACTCAGAGACAAACAATCCTTCCTAGCAGCCCTGGACATTTGGCTCTACTATTTTGGAGCTATTCCACTTCCCACAAGGGCAAAGTAGATTGTGAAGCAAAAGTTTACTACTCGACCCACTCAATACTCAGGAGCTCACATCAACTATCAGGCAGAAATATATGCACACACTACGCTCAAGAATGTGTGGTAATCTTTGTAATGAGGCTGCTTGAGATTACTCAGCTACCCACCATTACATTACATTACCGCAGCAGGTCAGGAGAGATTTGGTGCCAGACAGACTAAGTGGAATGCTAAGGTGAGGTGCTGTAACCAGGGGCACTCAAACTCAAGTGACTGATAAGTGTTTTACAGCCCTTACTCTCGGCCTTAGCACAGAAAAGTGGTCGAATAGGGAGGCAGCATAAGGACAGTTGATACTAAAGCTGTGGTACTGGTGAAAATTTCTTTGAATTCGATCTACAAAACCAACAAAGAGCAACTTGCACACCCTGGGAACAAAAGCCTCAGTGAAACAGACGGTATGCTGAGATAGAATTGGAAATTAGTATCAACAAACAAGCTAGGGTGCAAACATGGATGATTTAAATAGCAGCAAATGTTTGTCTTTTTTGCATCAGTGCTCTTTTTAACACCTTTGCCAACTTAATTTGTGTATTCAAAAATGCTGTTTATCTAAAAAAAAAAATCAACAAACATATTATTGGATTATTCTGTGTTATGTTTTTGTTTAATGATTACAAAAACTGTCCTTTAATGCACTCCATGTTGAAAGGTAATATGGTTGAATAGTTTTGATTAAGAACACCACACCACAATAGACAATACTGCATAAAACAAATTTTTGTCAAACACTTGTTACTATTTATTACACAACTTCACAAGCACATGCTGGATTTAGAAATAAATATGAATGCTGTTGATATATATTCAAAGCTGTCAACTGCACTCTTTGTCAATCCCTCATTATGATTCTCCATCCTTCTTGGACTTAAATAATGAGAAGATTGTTTTCCTCTGCAGTCTAATCATCTAATTTCTGCCTTTATAGTGTTTCCTTCCCCATGCAGCAGCTCTTTCCAGCTCTGCGCCTGTCATAACTAAGCTGATTGGACCAAATCAAAAATGAAATCAAATTAAGGCCCATTGTCAATGCGCATGGCTCCGTCACTAACATGAAAGGAGGACCACACAGAAGAGATAGCTAGAAATTCGAAGTCACTGGGCTGACATGAAAGAAAATATCAGAGCTGGGTGGGTGAGGGGATTTCTTACTCAAAATAACCATATAAGAAACATCACATACAGAATGATTGTATCCTTTCTGCAATGCTCTCATTTGCTTTATGCAATATGTATACGGCCATTTCACATGTACTTTTACAGCAGAATAGATTTTTAGATCTATTTTAATGGCACATGATGACAATTACAAGCATTATGTTTTAGCTTTCAATATTCATCCTTTTCATAAGATGATGATGTTTAAATATGGCATTGGTAACACTTTACAATAAAAGGACACAACATTTTGAGTAGTTAGCAGGGAACAAAAGAGGAACAAATGAGGAACTAACTGCAAGTGTACCATTAGTTAATGAGAAAACACCATAATCAAATTTTATAGAGTATCTAATAATTGGTTAACGACTAGTTAATTAAGAAACAAGTGGGGAACAAATAGTAGGGAAGAAATTCCCTAATAATTCCTAATAGCGGACTATATAGCAGATAATTATGCTTTATTAGAGAACAGACTGGGAGATCTTATATTAATGAATTTTTAGGTAATGATTAGTTCATCAATGTCTGTGAATCGATCATACTGATCACTTGCATCATGAGTCGTTGCTGATTAACTTAATTAATGATGAAGTAATGATTCAGTAACCACCCAGTATGATGCACCACTTTACTTTAGGGGGTCACAAAAAGAGTAGGCAATCATAACATAATGATGAAGTAATGAAGGATCACATAGTAACTGCTCAGTATTATGTGTCACTTTACTTGGGGAGCACAAAAACTGTAACTAATGTTTATGTAATTAGTAATGAAGGAGTAGTTACGCTTACTAGTTGTGTGCCGTTCACCGTTCATTCATGAATAATCACGTTGTTTCTGTTGCTGATTCATTAATCGCTTGTATCTTAATTAACTAATCATTATTAGTTTGAGAAGAAATTTGATTAGGAGTTTTCGCATTTAGCAGTTAGTTCCTCATTCGTTCCTCATTTGTTCCATGGTAACTACTTAAAATTTTGTGTCCCTTATTGTAAAGTGTTACCATGGCGTGTAGTAGCAGTTTGGGGGAAGAAATGATACACATCTCTTTGTATGGAATCTGGACTTACAGAGTTTTGGTCCAGCAGATGTCAGTGTTATTGGACAGCAGTTAGGCCGCCGTTTGAAGACACTGGGTGACTTGCCCTGCAGTGACATGATAATAATGCATTCATATCCTGCTGTGATTCTGCTGATCGGCTGACAGTCAAGCACAAAAGAGCCTGAATTCATTAGTGACGGGGAGGTGCATTTGCAAACCTTTCAACATATAAAAAGGGTCTCTGGATAAATATGTACAGCAAAAAAATTTTAACTATTGTGAAAAAAAAAATTATACTCCTATGAAATGTGAGTTTGCGCTTTCATTCATGGCCCGACCCTCACCTCTAACATTATAATAAATATTCCATACCGGTAAATAATAGATGAGTACACTGTATCAGTTTATACCTTACCCTCATTACTTATTACACACTCATACTCAAATGTGCTATATCCCAGCCATACCCCTAAGCAATTAGTTGCTCTAAAATATCAGGGGGCTAGTTATTTTGGCATGTATTTCATATTTTTATTGGTTTATTCTGAGCCCTGCATGCAGACCAGGCTACAACATACACAGCCTCTGCAAATCCCCAAGCTCCTCCACAGTCAGCAAAGTAATTGGGGAGGGAGTCCCAAAGTGTCCTCGCACACTGCTGAACCCTTTGCTACAGACAAGTTAAAATGGCAATAGGGGTAGGTAGGAGTCAGTATTAGTGTGCAAGTGTGTGTGTGGAGGATATTAGTACAGGAGGTGGCTTGAATACTTTGTGTGAATTGGCCCACGGTCTTTAGAGATTCAGTGGTTGGCTGGGAAACCATCTGGTTCCCCAACCCCCCAGCTGCATCGCCAATGGTTCCCCATTTCTAAAGGGGGCGCGGATGCCAATTTAAGCCCCCACTGCTCAAAATTAGTTAATTAACTCTATCTCTCACACAGAGAGAAACTTCCTTTGTAAGTAATTCTACCATTCATCACAATCCAACTCTTTTATTCTAAAGCTTTGCCAACTATCAGCTTGTGGAATTAGCAGGAACAGCTGAATGTGGGATAAAAAGCCCCATAAGTGAATCCATAACATTAAATAACCACAAATACAGAAAATGGAATCAAGCCAATTTCAGAATTTGAGACCAGATTTTAAAATGCACATGTAGTTTTCTGCAATTGCAATTGAAACTTCACTGATAAAACTAATTTTGTTTAGACATAAATTATTTGCTTTTCCAAATCAATTAACCCCACATATACATGGAATATGCTTATAAGATTCTGGTTAACAGTTTCTGTAGCAGCTGTCTGCCGCAAGGGAGAGAATGTCTCTGTGTGTGTGCGTCACTTATCAAATCAGAGTGACATACATATATATCAAATAATACCATAAAGCCATATATAAAATACACCCAGAGGCTTTAATTCACAACAATCAAGTATGTAAATGTTGTACGCTGATTCTATGCACTGAGACAAAGTGATCATATCCTGAGGAGATGATAAAACGAAGGTGGTTTGCACTGCTTCCATTTAGCTGAAAGAGAAAAACAAAGAAGCAGTTGCTTTACCTGTTAATTCTATATATTCATATCTTTTACATAATAATATTTTCATTTCGACTTACCAAAAAAGTATTTGACTGAAGATGTCCCTCCGTATGTTCAAATTCTATGAGACATCATTGTTAATCACAATTTTAATTATTTGGCATTTAAACCAAATGTGCAAACAGATACTGTAGATGGAAGCCCCCCTTACCTTTCTCTGTAACAAACTCAAATTGAGAAGTATTTGGCGATGTATTCTTTTCTATCTTTAGATGCTTGACTGCAAAAGAAAAAAATACAAGCAGATATCTATAAATTATTTGAAAAGGAGAAAATAAACACTGAAACAACACAAACTAGTTATATTTTTCGATTAAGAAAAACATATAATCTCAGGTTTTGTGATAAAATATGACAAACTGTGAACATTTTGGTTTGTTACTCATGCCTAGGAACAAATACATTTTGACAATGAGCATTATAATTGTTGTAAAATGTGGTAAAATTACATTTTATGCAATACTATAGGCATGGCAATAGTCTGTTGGTTGACATGACATTTTGTACAAACATTCGTGGTCCCCAGAAGATGCCACCATGAGGCTGACATTTGTGGTTTTGAATGAAATTGCTCACAACTCGCCATTAAATTTGTTGCACACAATCAAAGCCCGCCCTCCAGTCTTTTGTTTGGGGAAGTAACCGCTTTAAATGTGCATGTGGCACCATTTCATTTCAATGATAAATTATATAATTTTAATTCAGTTATAAACTACTGGACTTCAATAGATCCTGTTTTTCAGCAGGTTTTCTGCTGATGTCCAAAACTATCTGCACATTCAAAATCTATCCCACATATCTGTGTTCTCTTACATGTGACTAATGTGAATTTAATGAGAATTCATAATAATTTTTGTAAGTGTTGTTCCAATCATGTTTTTACTCCTTCAAAATACCACACAGTCAGTTCTTGGCCAGTATCTCAACCAAAATCAAATCAATCAGTAATTTTTTTACCATGTAAATGTATTCACAAATAGCCTAATCAAAGAGTTTGAGGAATAGACACAACATTAATTTCTGTGTTTATCAACTGGTCATAATAAAAAATATAGGCCTCTTTACTTGATTACAAACTCTACTGATCTAAACCTTTAAGTCTCAGGAAACACAGTCTTGAGGTGGGGTTTATGATTATGGAGAAATTCAAAACCACGACAAATACCATGATACAGAGCGAACAATGATACCACAAAGTAAGCTAAGTTATGGGATAGCAAACTGTCGCAACAGTTGCTGGTAAGCTTCCATGCAGAGAGGAAGAGTTTCCCAGAACCAGCACACCAGTTCCAGACAGCAACACAACTCTCCTGCTACTATTGCTAACCTCACAACAACAGCATATCTTGGCAAACTGGAAAGTCAGCTGAATGTCTGTGGGCAAGTCATTTAACGTTACCTGACAGACAAATCATGGCTGAAATAGTGTTGTGTGGCTCAGTCCAAGCCACTTTCTTTGTTTCCCCATGTACAGAGGCAGGGTACAAACACCAGATTGTTTTCAGTGCACAATCTAAAATACAAGGCATGGCAGAGTATATCAATGGTGAGCTGAAAGCTGATCATTCATGTATTTCTCCTTAAGTTTTAGAATGTATTTGGTAGTAATTTGCTTTTTGTTTTCAAAGGCCACTATGTTTAGATTCTGTCCATTTAAGAAATGTGAAAAATTAGGCCATTGTCAGATTGGTCTAACACCTGAAGGAACATCCATACTTTGGAACATTAATTATGATCCAGCTGTTAATAAAATATTACTATATTGATGCTTGTATGTTGTTCCTCAAATGTAAGTAGATTTGGATAAAAGTGTCTGCCAAATGAATAAATGTAAATGTAAAATGTAATGTTGACGACAGCATTGACAAAGACAGTAACTATTAAAAATATGAGATTTAATATACAGTTTGAATGCTAACAAAATGAGTAAGTATACGCCAATGGACTAGCTTTGGCCAGTTCATTTTGTGAGGGAAATAATCTGTGTTTACAGTCATGGGGAACTTCAAGGCTTTAATTCAGACAATAATGCTTTGCTTGATTTCTCAAACAACAAACAAACAGTAACAGTATATAGACACTATCACAGACACAGAACATACCATTGTAGCTGTCCACTGTCACAGTAGAAATCTTCGAGGGTTCAGCAAAGCGAATGATGAACTCTTGAGGAAACATCCCGGTGGACATCCAAAAAGTCTTAGTGTTTCTGGGTGAAACAAAAATCAAAATATCAACATTGATCCGATGGGTTTGAGGTTCAGTACGTTACGTTAGCGTTGAACAAACAGAAAACCTGACGTTAACTTTCAATGTAAGGTCGACAAAGCCATTGGAGTCAGAAACAACTAAATAACGTTAACTTACTCACCCGTCAGTGATGTTTTCTGGTGGGTGATTCTCATCGCTGGATGTAGCGACGACAACTGTGGCACCCAAAGAACTTAGAGCGGAATCGATCATGTCTGCTTGCTCAAAACACAACGCTCAGTCTCCGGTGCTGTCTGGTTGGGGGGAATTTAAGTTAGTTAAGTCAATAACACACAACAATCTGCTTTGTTTGTGGGTTTTGGAGAAGTCGAGTACTACCTGCTACCTTCGTTGCCAAGCCAACCCCTGTGTCGCAATATATATACGTCAACATCGCTTTAGTAAGTCGCCATATCCGACGCACGTTGCTCGTTGTTTAGCAATTAGCAGTTAGCAGGGGTAATCTGCACATCTTCACATGGCGAATGGATGCAAAGACGTGTTGTTTACTCGCGGGGCTGGACAGGTTAGTTAATATACACTACTGACCATAAGATGACAACACATGTTAACCGTTGTAGGCAGTTATATGTTTGGTTTGAGATGGGGAGCTAGGTAGCTAAGCTACAAACCAACGCAGAGTTTGGCTAACGTTAAGTTCTGTAACAAAGAGGAAATGAAGAAAAGAAAACCGAACACAGAAATCCACTGTGTACATAACGTGTTTCAGTAGTCAAGATATTGCCTTGTTGTAATACAGTCGTGGACAGACATCACGTGAATTATCTAACTTAACGTTATATCTGCAGAAAGTCTTATAACGTTAGCATAATTTCTCACTGTGCAGGGGATGCAAAGGTAAACATGTCGGGGCAGCTGCAAAAATTAGCTGCACTGTAGCAAATTGGCCGACAGTCCTCAAGCCATTTACATCTTTACTATCTCGTACTGAACTGTAAATACCTGTTTAAAAAGCAGTTTTCATCAGCGGGGGCTCTAAATATGTTCTCTTTTCCAGAGTGATGATTCGGATATATGGGATGACACTGCATTGATAAAGGCATATGACAAGGCTGTTGCATCGTTCAAGGTAAAATAGGTGCTTTGCAGTGTATGTGCATATATAATGTTAAGGGGGGTTTTGCCACTTATGTGTCTGCTTTTCTCTTGTTTTGTGTGTGTCAGACTGCCCTTAAGAGTGAAGATGAGCCACATGCTTCCAAGAAAAACCAACCAGGAAAAAAACGGAAGAACAACAAAAAGAACCAGAGCAGGAAAAGAAACAATGCACCACCAGATAAAGAGGTGTGTAATTGGTACTAAACATTACTAAACACAACAGATAAGTATGAAGAAGGGAAGAAGGCTTAGAGTTCACGAATTAACAAAGAGGTCTTAATTACAATTTATATCATGTCACAGTGGCAGGTTGGGGACTCATGCACTGCATACTGGTCAGAGGATGGCCAGCTCTATGCAGCCACTATCTCCTCCATAGACGAGAAGAGGGGCACATGTATAGTGGTTTACACCGGATATGGCAACGAGGAGAAGCACAATCTTGAAGACTTGCTTTCCGAAATTTCTGAGGGCGATGAGGAAACAAATACCAAGGTAAAGCAGTGCAAATAATTGATTGTCTCTGTAATTATCCAATACAATACATTTAGCATATTCATTAGATTTCTTTTTATATTGTTACCTGTTTAACAGGGTTAATGGTGATGTACATTGCATCTTTTGAGTCCATTTTGTTTGGTGGTGTATTTATATTAATCCCGTGTGCCAAATGTAAAAGACATGATGTCATGTCCAAACAAACAAAAAATTTGATAGCATGACTTTGGAGAAGACTCACCAACTTCACATTTTGCCATTCACTGTGAACAGAAGCTAGAGTAATTATTCATTTAAAAAGTCACTATGGCGATGAGCCAACTGTTGTATTCTGCATATTTGCAGTATGAGAAAAATTTTATATAAGTTTCCTTTTGACATACTGTCCTTTTTACTTTTTCAAATACTTTACTTTTGTTTTTATTTGGCCACTATAGTCTGCAATTAATAGTAGAAACTGATTGACAGACAAGGTCAGTTGAGGCAAAGTGAGTTAAATATCAATTACAGTACTTGATCTTTATCAAATAACAACTCCTGGGGCCTGTACCACGAAGCAAGTTCAACATACCCAGGATATCTTTTTGTTATCTGGCTTCACTTAACCCTAACAATCGGGATTGGAATAAGGAGTCATACGAAGCTGGTTATCAACTCTGTAAATCAACCCAGGGTTTCCCGATCCAGCCATGAGTTGTTAGTAGCAGATAACCAATCGCAAACATGGAAAAGTCCACTGGCAGCAAAGCGTCATATTTTACAAACGAAGAGCAAACTGTAATATTAGACAAATAGACATAGTCTAAGAACATGCAGTAGGACAGAAAATTGCCGACATTGTGAATGCCTTAGTTAACAGGCATAGCCTATTATATGGATGTGTTGATTTGATGTGTTCTTATTAGGGCTGAGCAATTAATCAAATTTTAATCACGATTTCGATTTTGGGGGTTCCAACGATTATAAAAACAAGTTAATCAAAATAAAACTATTATTGTGCCGCAAGCAGTTTCGCAATGGCGCTTGTTTGACTTATGTTATAAATCCAGCGCACCCTTTCCTTTACAGCAGCGCCCAGGTAGTTACCCCTGATAGAAAGTGTTCCATCGGCTGCGGGAGCGCGCATGCATTCAGTGGTGAAGGTGGACATTAGACTTCACCTAAGTAAATAAAAAAATATAACATGTAGGTTGTTTAATCTATCATTTTAATATCGCTTATCTATCAAAATAAATGTCTTTATTCTTCTGTGGGCTAACGTTAAGTATTTTTGAACTTCGTATTATTCATTGAGACTGTCTAAACATTCAACTATGGACTATATATTTTCCTTCGTAAAGCAAACAGTTATTTCACGATAGATCTGGCGATGTTATAACTGACCTCGGAGTTGATCACTTGATTATCTGTGTTACTGTTTGGAAAATCAAGATCACTGTAATCAGTTTAACACATTACTCGCCTCAATTACATCTACTTGATTCGAAATGTACATTAAACTGAATGCAGCATTGTAGACAATGACATTGTATTTTGTCTTTGTAATCCGCATTATGATAGCCGTTGCATATCGCTGAAAATTGTTCTGAACCCCCCTCCTTAAAGGGTAAATTATCATAATCATTTAATAATACATTGCGTTTAAATATCACTTTTCATACACAAAAAGTGATTACAGTACTTGTTCTACCAGGCCGGACATGCAGTCTGCCAAAATGTGTATACCCCTCCATAATGCACAGATGATGACCTACCATCAAGTATTTCATTTTGTGTATTTCAGATCATGACTAGCAGCAAACATAAAATCAGCTGATAAAGTCTGTGGGGTCTCCAACAGATGGTGATTTCCCAAGAGAGCTGATTGGTCAGTAGGCGGCGTTTTTATAGAGTTGATCTCTTATCTGGAACATAACCTACTCCAATGCAGGTTAGCCGTTCAGCAGAAGTTACCATGGCCATCTACCCCAGTAAGAAGTGAACCACCATCATGGTACTGAAAACCCAGGGTTAACCCCAAAGTTATCTGGATAAGCTCAAATCCTGCTTCATGGTACAGGGCCCCTGCCCTGCTCCACTCAGTGTATAAGAGGATGTTTAAAGTTAATAATATTCGATTATTATTTCATGGGTAATTTGGGAGAATCCATAATAAATTTTAAAAAATGACACATTCAGTTTTTAAAGTTCAGTGAATGCATGCTGTTTCCTAAGTCAATCAGTAATCGTGTTAATAATCGTGATTTCAATCATGACCAAAATAATCGTGTTTAGGATTTTTGCCATAATCAAGCAGCACTTGTTCTTATGGCTTGTATGATAATTTTAGCCTTATTCTTTCAGCTTCGGCTAGGTGTCGGTGTTTCCACATGAAAAGCCTACGGCTCTGATTAAGTGGTCATTCCAACTCACTTTTAACAATTTCTCATAACTTCAAAAATCAGATTAATTTATTTAACACACTCAAAAGTGTTTCAAATATTGTTCTAAATTAACTTAGCATAAAGAAAACGCAACAAAATATCTGTCCATGCCAAAAAGGTGTACAAATTGGCCCAGAAAAACTGATTCTCAACACCTTCACACAACATTGCTGGAAATTCGGGTAAACTCCCACTGCAACGTTAACAATAATATTTTCAAGTAAGTAATCGTTACATGATAACGCTACATTGACTTAAATTATGTCGGACTTTATGTTGGACTTTGTTGGAGACTATGTTGTGCTGGGAACCAGTCGTTTTATGGTGTTGGTGGACTGCACTTAGTTTGCTGCGGTGTTGTCTCTAGTCGGCAAGAGGCTCTGGAGCGCTCATGCAGCTAGAACCGACCCGATTGCTTCACATATGAAGCAGAATAGTGGCTGTTCCAAGCAACAGAGAAAAGAGGCGTTTGGTTAATGTCAAAGTGAGGATACAGCACATTGACAAATGAGCAGTAAAAAGAGATTTATTGAAAAGTGCTAGTGAAAAACTACATATAACCCCATTAAACTTATTGTCAATAGGCCTACCGAGCCATATGCTCATAATATTCACCCTCACAAAATTAAACCCATTTATTTTAACGGCTGCGAAAGGCTCTGTAAAACGGACTTGGGAGCGAATAATAAATGGAAATGAAACAAATTTTGAAGAGATATGTAGGCTTACTGTTATATCTTAAAAACTTACAACAAGTTGTAGCCTACTTACAAAACCGTTTTGGAACTCAGGGTTAACCCTAAAGTTACTTCTCAAAGCTCCCATCACTTATATCCTGCTTCGTGGTACTGCCCCATGAAATGCAATGCACATTAAAAAAAAGATTACAGTGTAACCAATGCAAGGATAAAGTTGTAATTACCAAACCGCTTATATTTGATATGGATTGTAAATCGCTTTGGCTATTGATTTTAAAAAAAAAAAAAAAAAAAAAAAAAAAATCTTCTGGGGGGGTTTATACGCTCAGAAAAATCCAAAGATAGTTCCCCTATGTGAAGTCACCATGGAATAAAAAATCAACAAATCAAAGCTAAAGCAATTTTGTCTCTGCAATTAAGGTAAAGGAGGCAGAATCGTCAACAGAGGAGAGTGACCGGTCAACCACACCAAACCAACACAAACAGCCACACTGTAAACTCCAAAAGTCCAAGACCCACAAAGAACCTCCCCCTATGCGTGGTCCTGGCTTCCCTGGGTTTCCTCCAGGCCCACCTCCCATGCATGCTTTCAGACAGGTAAGAAGATTACCTCAGCACATTTCCTTATTAGTCAGCAAAAAATTAACTTGTAATGATTAATTTTTCATAGTTATTTCATAGTCAATATAATTGCTTGAGATTAAAATGTTGTTGATGATGATAATAATAATAATAACGTTTATTATATTTATATAGCACCTTTCACAAGACCCAAGGATGCTTTACACATAATTGCAGAGACAGAACAATAAAAAGTAATTTTATTTTGGAAAGAGGTGGCTTTTTAGAAGGTTTTTGAAGGTGTCCAGAGAAGGAGCATTTCGGATCTCTGTGGGGATGGAGTTCCAGAGGGTGGGGGCTGTGACGCTGAAGGCTCTGTCCCCAAAAGTCCACAATCTGATGTGGGGTACAGAGAGCAGCCCCTTGTCAGTGGACCGCAGGTTCCGTGAGGGGGTGTAGGTGTGGAGAAGGTCCAGTAGGTACTGGGGGGCAGTGGCATGGAGACATTTATAGGTGAGGAGTAGGATTTTGTAGGTGATGCCGAATTTGACCGGGAGCCAGTGAAGCTGATTGAGGATTGGGGTGATATGCTGCCATGACCTAGTGTGTGAGAACCCTGGCAGCAGAGTTCTGGACCGATTATAGCCTGTCCAGGACCTTGCTGGGTACCCCATACAGGACACCATTACAGTAGTCCAAGCGGGAGGTGATTAAGGCATGGATGAGTGACTCTGTTACAGAGTCTGAGAGTGATGGTCGAAGTCTGGAAATGTGTCCAAGGTTGCGGACTTCTTGGGATGGAGAGGTGGAGCAACCATACACTTTGAGGAGTAGATCACCTACCCTCAGGAGCAGCGGCTTGGGAGCCACTACCATTAGCGTCGTTTTTCTGCTGTTTAGCTTGAGTAGATTGGATGACATCCAGGTTTTTATTTCATTAAGACAGTTGTGACTGAGGGGGAAGCTCAGTGGATGGTTTGGTGCTAATATACAGCTGTGTGTCATCAGCGTAACGGTGGAAACGGAGACCATGGTGACGTATTGTGTGGCCGAGGGGGAGCATGTAAATGGTGAAATGTTAAAATTTTAGATTAAAAGAATTTAGATTTTTTTAAGTTCTGTCAAAAGGCTTGCTCTTTGCTGTGGCAAAATGTAATAGTAAAATGAAATGTCCAAGTGTTTACAATGTGACTAAAACTAGAATATACTACTACTAATAATAATACTATACATTTAGCGCTGGGGTATTGAATTGCAATACATTTATGTTAATATGTCTACCCTCTGTATTGATGTCACTTTTTATAAAGTCATGAAAAGATCAATGGAAAATGTGTTTTCAAAATATATATATAAAACACATTATATATACAGTGAGGAAAATAAGTATTTGAACACCCTGCTATTTTGCAAGTTCTCCCACTTAGAAATCATGGAGGGGTCTGAAATTGTCATCATAGGTGCATGTCCACTGTGAGAGACATAATCTAAAAAAAAATATCCAGAAATCACAATGTATGATTTTTTTAACTATTTATTTGTATGATACAGCTGCAAATAAGTATTTGAACACCTGTCTATCAGCTAGAATTCTGACTCTCAAAGACCTGTTAGTCTGCCTTCAAAATGTCCACCTCCACTCCATTTATTATCCTAAATTAGATGCACCTGTTTGAGGTTGTTAGCTGCATAAAGACACCTGTCCACCCCATACAATCAGTAAGAATCCAACTACTAACATGGCCAAGACCAAAGAGCTGTCCAAAGACACTAGAGACAAAATTGTACACCTCCACAAGGCTGGAAAGGGCTACGGGGAAATTGCCAAGCAGCTTGGTGAAAAAAGGTCCACTGTTGGAGCAATCATTAGAAAATGGAAGAAGCTAAACATGACTGTCAATCTCCCTCGGACTGGGGCTCCATGCAAGATCTCACCTCGTGGGGTCTCAATGATCCTAGGAAAGGTGAGAAATCAGCCCAGAACTACACGGGAGGAGCTGGTCAATGACCTGAAAAGAGCTGGGACCACCGTTTCCAAGGTTACTGTTGGTAATACACTAAGACGTCATGGTTTGAAATCACGCATGGCACGGAAGGTTTCCCCTGCTTAAACCAGCACATGTCAAGGCCCGTCTTAAGTTTGCCAATGACCATTTGGATGATCCAGAGGAGTCATGGGAGAAAGTCATGTGGTCAGATGAGACCAAAATAGAACTTTTTGGTCATAATTCCACTAACTGTGTTTGGAGGAAGAAGAATGATGAGTACCATCCCAAGAACACCATCCCTACTGTGAAGCATGGGGGTGGTAGCATCATGCTTTGGGGGTGTTTTTCTGCACATGGGACAGGGCGACTGCACTGTATTAAGGAGAGGATGACCGGGGCCATGTATTGCGAGATTTTGGGGAACAACCTCCTTCCCTCAGTTAGAGCATTGAAGATGGGTCAAGGCTGGGTCTTCCAACATGACAATGACCCGAAGTACAAAGCCAGGATAACCAAGGAGTGGCTCTGTAAGAAGCATATCAAGGTTCTGGCGTGGCCTAGCCAGTCTCCAGACCTAAACCCAATAGAGAATCTTTGGAGGGAGCTCAAACTCCGTGTTTCTCAGCGACAGCCCAGAAACCTGACTGATCTAGAGAAGATCTGTGTGGAGGAGTGGATCGAAATCCCTCCTGCAGTGTGTGCAAACCTGGTGAAAAACTACAGGAAACGTTTGACCTCTGTAATTGCAAACAAAGGCTACTGTACCAAAAATTAACATTGATTTAACCTTGATTTCTGGATTTATTTATTTTTTTAGATTATGTCTCTCACAGTGGACATGCACCTACGATGACAATTTCAGACCCCTCCATGATTTCTAAGTGGGAGAACTTGCAAAATAGCAGGGTGTTCAAATACTTATTTTCCTCACTGTATATGTGAGTTGCTAAGATTACAAGAACTGAACAGCCCTAGACTGCACTTATTTTATGACAAGTAGAATTCACTAAAGAGGGTTGTTTAAGGCATTAACCACCTTTTCAAGCTAAATTGTCTGGAGTAATATTTGGTAATACTGAGATCACAGTCTGTTACTTTCAATCCTTAACAATTATGTTTTTTGGACTTTTGTGTTCTCTGCCAGGGGGGAAACAGACGACCTGGTGGCCACGGTCCTGTACCTCCTTCCTGGCCTCCCATGATGCCTTTTGGTCCACCAGTGAGTTGGAATATATCTTTATACTAATTACAAATGTAAAAGCTGCAGATAGTGTCTTATAATGGGGTCTGCAATCTATATGTAAAAAGCGCACACTTAACTCTTCCAGCTGGGAAAATAAGAAACATGTCAATTAAGAATGTCGGTGATAGACAGCAAATGCAGTCAGCTTCCAGCATCAGTGTTGCGATCACACACACTCTTCTGTTGTTGTCTTTGCCTCAGATGATCCCTCCACCTCCACCGATGAGCCCCGACATGGTGGATGATGAGGCCTTGGGCAGCGTGCTCATCTCCTGGTACATGAGTGGATATCACACAGGATACTACTTGGTATGTGCACAGAAGCCAACTGACTCATTATGGGCTATAAAAGGGATTTACAGTTATTATTTGCAGGTTCAGCCTCTTGCATTATGTAGTGAAAAGTAGTTTGTTTATGGTAATTTGGACACTTTTTTGCCTTTTTGGTAAAGTTACTCCATTTTTACTGTCACACTCCTTAGTGAAAAGAGCCTTTTCATCAAATCCTTCCAGCTTCACAATATGTGATAGTCCTTGATTATTTTTTTAAAAAGGGGAGCTGAGCTATATATATTCTTTTTATTTTTACAGGGGTTGAAACAAGGACGCAAAGAAGCTGCCAACTGGACAAACCTGCACCACAAATGAAATGGTCAACTCAAGATTTCAGTTACTCAGGGCAGCAGGCACCCTCCCTGTGCCTGATGTGTGTCTTCTTCAATTCAGAAGGAAGTGTTATTAATGAAATGTACATGGTGAGAACAGTGAAAACATTCATCCGAGTTCAAGGAGTTTTGTATTCTTTGTAAATAGATTAAAATAAAGGCTATCAGCACACTGAACTGGCTCATTATATTGATTTTATTGCACTGTAACACGGGTGCACTATTGTGAAATGAAGATTTATTGGACAGTACATGTGTGCAATTGCAGCCAGTTGTTTCACTCATACATATATATTATTTATTTTACTAATTAGCTAAAGAGCAAATTAGCTTAATTGTTTGTGGGAGATTACTTATCCAAATGTGTGTGACCGACTCCATGATGTGTGGTTGTAATGGCAAGTATTGTCCAGCAGAAGTCAGACAAGTATAATGTATTCACGTTATAGGAAAATGTGAGTGAAAAATGAGTACACAGGAGCTTGGTGTTTAAACTTTGTACAGGATAACCATATGCCATATAGAGAAACACTCCACTTCTGTGTGTCTGCTGTACATTTAGTCTATTTGGACTTGGTCTGTAGAGCCCTATTGTGAACCCGGAATTGTTGAGTTCCCCTAAAGTTTATCTTATAAATGTGCAGGATGCCCCGCGACCCTGTTCGCAGGATAAGCGGTTGACTATGGATGTGCAGGATGCTAACTTGCATTTGTTGGGCAATTAGCATTAATTATCATAATCACCAATATGGACAATATTTCAGCAACTGCTTGGCCGACCGTCAGGTACTGAACCATACTTTAGGAAAGGAAAGGAGATAATGCCATCCCACAATTCCTTGCGGAAGCAATACTTAAAGCGACGCACATTTTCAAACTCAAACGATAAAATCCATTGGCCACAAAATCCTTGCAACACAGACGCACATTATGATATTTGAATATGACACTCACAATTTCTTGCTTTCTTTCTTTTGGTTTGTTTTATATTTGCTTTGCTGTAATCTGTTTCAACACCATTTTATGTTTCAGATTGTTGAAATAGGCTACCATAAAGTGTTGTATTTGGATTTTGTAGAATAACAAAAGATTTTTATTATTATTCCATGCATGAATATGCATAGGGCCTATGTCTTGAACTGTCAACAATAACTGAGACCCATGCCAGCTGTTAGTCTAATGATCAAAGAGAGGATAATGTTGAAGGCTATGGACTGCCAGCCTTCAGCAAAATCAATAATTAATTTTTACTAAAGTGACAGATGCCAACACTTTTGCCTTAAGGCAATGATCAAGCTGGATGACCTCTACAGTGAAGGTGATGTATTATTTCAGTGTTTCCCACCTCTTCATTTATTTGTGGCGGCTTGCCACATTATCAACGCTGACCGCCAAATATTGATTTTTTAATTATTTTTTTTACTATTTAAAATGGGTAAAATCGTATTTGATTACAGAGCTGCGCGCATCATAGGCCTATATGCACTCAGCGCCTCCTCTGCCCTCTCGCTCGCTCACCACTGTTACGCGGTCATTCTATGTGTTTACATACAATAATTGGGATTCATGTTGATAAATACCCTATGCAGGAGGGTGAGTGTGAGCAAGCATCCTCAATGCGACAACCCTTTCCATTATTTGGTGACTGGCAGGCCTACCTTATGTCTTTTTGATATCTTGCTTATGAAGTAAGCTATGTCGCCGAGACCGTGTTGTACACCTTTAGATGGCCTGCATTAAATCAATCTGTGGAACATTAGTTCGAGATGACGGCGGCTGACTTTCGCCGACTTGATAGTCTAACGTGAGCTGCAGGTGACTGCAGGGGCGGGGAATAAAAAAATTAAAAAATGTCATTAATAATATAATTAATGTCATGTGACATGGTGACGTTTTGCAGCGCGACACAATTTCTAACCAGCATGCCTTATTTTAAGTCCAGCATGCATCACGTTAAGTCAGCGCTGCGCAGCGCCGCATGAAGTCAAACGCACCTAATGTTGTTTCATCACGGCAGTAACATCCCATAATTGTGTGTTTTCTTGACCTCATGACGTTTGCCATCGAGGTCAAGGAAAGCCGGTTAGGAAAGGAGATTTTTTTTTTTTTTTACTTTTCGACTGCAGTCCCTTTTGTGAGCAGATCAGAAAGAGGTGTTGGGGTGTCATAGAGGGATGGGATCAAGCAACTCCCCCAGCCTTTCCTTCCTGTTATATTTTTATTTTTATGTCCACCTGAGGTTAACGTTGAAGGCAACAAGCGGAAATCCTATCCCTGGGTGCTGTTTTTTTTTGTGAAGGTGATTCAAACACTAGAATGACAATCAGATTGCTGAAAACCTTGAGCTACTGCAGCTGAACTTGACTTCTGATGAGAGGATACCTCTGAGAAGTAGAATTCTAAGGGCCCTAATGGTTCAAGTTTAAGGCAGTTAGAGCCCTTTTAAAATACATTAAAAAAATGGTCTGATTTTGGCCCATTTTTCCTGTGTGCATGGATGAATAAAGAAAGACAGACAGGTGACACAGTAGTAAACATAAAAATATCAAAATAAAAGCCATTTATAGATAGTTTTTATTGTCACACACACCGGTCAGTCGTCATTGGGAGTCTGTGGCTGACCATTGCCTGAAGTTTTTGCAGTGAGTCCAGCATTTTTACCTGAACACAGAGCAGTGCGAAGGCTGAAGACTGCCACAGATTGGGTATCTTCCCAAGCATGCCATAAACATGTTGTTCAAATGATGCTAGTGGCAAGTTTGGGGCCCCATGTGAGGCAGCAGCGTTTTTGGGAGAGCCAATTACATCATTATACTGATTTTGCAACTATAGCAGAAGAAGGTAGCTTCCATTTTTCTGCTGTCATCCTAGCTTGCTCAGTCGGTAGAGCATGAGACTCTTGCACATTCCTTTTAGCATTTTTTCTGAATTGAAAAATGAATAAATTCAGGCAGGCGGCACAGAAGTAAAAGTAAATATATCAAAAGGAGTCTAAAAATGGGTGGAATCAAGCAACTTTACAGCTACAGCAGGGGGTTTCAAAGTGTGAGGAGGGCCTCCCTTGGGAGGCTCCAAACAATTTCAGGGGAGGCTCAGTGAATGGAAATAAAACAATATTACATTGCTTATTGCATTAGTTATCAAAAAGAGATCGCATAGAATAACCTACATGTGTGAGACTTCAGAGATACAGTTTAGTTAGTTTTTCGGAACTGTTTTCCCGCTATCAGAGTCCTTAGGACAGACCTTTTTTAAAACTATTTGGTGTAGTCAGAAGTTATGTCAAACAGCAATATTAGGCTATTTTGGCTCAAATGTTGAGTGTCTATGGGATCAAATAATCTAATCATGATCCCATATGCATCCAGGAATTGAGTGAAACTTACCAAGTAAACTAAAGATGTGATGCGGGGTGCCGTTTCCCAAACATTGTCTGAGGGGAGAAAGAAATATATATTATAACATTTACACCAATGACATTTAACTCTCTTGAATCTGAAATGCAATCCACTGTATTTAGCACATAAATGACCTCAAACTGTAATCCGAATTCATCAAAATTGGCCCACTGGGACTTGAAACATGGCCCCTTCTGGTTTTGCTGAAATGTTGTCCATATAGGTGATTATGCTTATTAATGCTTATTATGCTAATGGCCCGACATATGCAAGTTAGCATCCGGCAGTTTGTAAATTCTGGGCCCCCATACTGTACATTTCTAAAGTAAAACTTTGGGGTACTCCCCCATTTCCGGGTTCCCATTGCTGGCAAGTAAACTGTTGTGTGTCTTGGCATGCTAAGAATGTGATTGCAAGCCAGCCTCGAGTCCTTCTTTAGTCCCTCTGGTGCTTTCCGCTCAGTTAATTCAGAGAATCGTTCCAGTATATGCCTTACATTCAAGCTCTCTGTTTTCCCTGAGGTGTTTCCTCGTCCACCATCCAATATAAGATCACATCCATCATAATGTTTTCAACTCACATCAGATGTGTGCATATTTCAGGAGGGTAGCAAAACTCAGTATGACACATTGGACCAGTTATGCAGTTAAAGATTGATTCTTACACAAAGTCATTTAAACATTAAGATCATTAAAAGACATTTAAAAAGACAAAATGGTCTTTACAGGTCCGAGGTAAGGTTGGGGTGTTTGAATACTATTCAAGTGGACACACTGATGTGTTAGGATTTATTGCTTGTGTGGAATGAGAGCCTTCATTCTTTTACTGTCTTTATAACTTTAGGTCTGAGCAACCGTTGTTGTACATTCCTGGAATGTATGAGTTTTAGTAATGTTAGAACAGTAGATGAAGTAGGTTGCAAATACTGTATGCAAGTGTATATTTGGAATATTGAAAAACACATGTAATTACAGTGGGAACAGCCACGATCATTCTGCTGAGCCTGCAGCGCTTTCATTCCATGAAAGGAAGCCAAAGAGATTTCCCATATTTCCTATACTGGTGATTTGCTCCCTGCTTAAAATACCACTCCTCTGGTTCTAAACTGGTGGGCAATTAGTCATACACTATGTGTCTGTGTGTGGATGAGAGACAATAGAATTGTGTGGTACAGTTTAACAGCATGATTGTCTCCTGCTTTTTATATCATGTGATCTTCCTCCAGCTGCTCCATAGCCATTGCTTTCTGAGTAAAGAGTGGCCCCCTTTGTTTGTATGCTGACTGCGGTCTGCATTTTATAGCTGTTGCTGTGCCACTGTTGACTGCTGTTTGATTCTCACTGTAGCAGCCACTTTTGTTTTTGCTGTTTTGTGTGCATTTGTGTGGCAAAACAGAGAAAAGAGAGGCGATAACGGGAGAAAATGTAGTTTGTGGGATTTAGAAATAGAATATGTTCTATAAACAAGAGGTGATAAACAAGACCTATCCTTTCCCCACACATGGGTTTAAAATCTGCCATGGCAAAGCCTGCACATAAGCCTGATGCTTGCCTGACTCTGCAGCAAAGTGAGCAGCCCAAAGGGGTCAATGAAGCCCAGCAAGGAGTTAAAAGGGGGTCAGATCTAGCTTGGGAAAGTACTGCTCCCCTCTGTGACTGTCTACCCCCTACTGACCAAAGCGGCATGAGGCGTGTAAACATAATCTGCATTTCACATAGTCCCTTCTAGGAAACAGACAGACAGCCAAGTGAGATCACATTGCTGCATGAGTTACAGCGC